CCCCCCCCCCTCCTCACCGCAGGTTCTGCTGGCACTGTTCCTTTAAAGCAGCGTGACCTGATGGGATACCTGGAGGTGGTTTATAATACCTGCTGCAAGGGCCACCTGCCTTCTGGCAAGAGTGTGCTCCTGGGAGTGTCCTCGGACTATGGATGTGGAGCAGCAAGGTTAAGTGACAGTGGTTTTCTTCTGATACTTATTGTCAAATAATCGTTCTCAGAGAGTTAGTAGGTGGCTTACCGAGTTTTTTGGATATTTTCCTAGAAAATTACCTGTAACCATTTGCTAGCAGTTACTTTATTGTGTTGTCAGAAAAGTTTCTGTTGCTGCTAAATCTGTCATACAAAATGATGCTGGTTTTCCTCATCTTGAAAATAAAGAAAGACTGGGCAGATTTGCTCTAGCAGAGTGGGTTAAAGAGCAGCCTATGATAAGGCGGCTTTCTTTCCAGGGATCATTCTACAGTGAGGTAAACTTAATTGGAAAAAATGCAGTTTCCTAAAAACACCAACTAACAAACCTCTGACCTCATTTTGTTACCTTGTCTTTCTGTATTTCTTGATTTAAAGATGGTGTAGTATATTGTCTTAGTATCGTGTTGCTTGTGCATGGTTTGCTAGCACATAGTTTTTCTGTAGCTTTTTGAGCCCATGCCTGTGTGATGGGAGGCAAGAGAGCAGAAAGGAAAAGGCAGTTTCCTTCTCTCACCAACTATGTGGAGGGGTTTTCCTTTTCTGTGCTGACTTACTCTGGGGCCTAACAGAAAAGTAGCTAGTCTTTGGGCTGGTGATTCCAAAGCTAAGAGTGAAGACATCTGAGATCAAGACTTGGAGGGGGGGGGGAGCAGTTTTGCACTAAGTTGCTTTCTGATGCTTTGGTGTTGCCTGGAGCTACCTTAGCAGAGTTTTGCATTTTGTAGCAACAGCCTTGTAGGAGTGCCAGAGCAAGGCCTAGACAGGGAAAAGCTACCTGTTTTGGTTTGGTTTGTTTTTTTTTTTTCCCTTTCTTTTTAATGTACTGGACATGCTTCCTATGTGGAAAGTAGTGCTGAGGAGAAGTTTGAGACACTGCCTCTGTCTTCATGTAACTCTCCTGAGGCTGTAGAACTTAAATAAGCCAACAACTTCAGGAATGAAGAAATAAGCATCCTGTTGCTGGGCTATGTACATTTCTGAATGCTCTGGGTTTCAGTTGTGTGACATGCTCATGTTATAAAAACAGCCATCCTGAAAGCATGCTAACATGGATTAATGACTACTCAAAAATAGTTTGCTTACTCAGCTTTGTCCATCACAGATCTAAGGTATGCGGTTGGATCATGGTAGTATCTTTTGTTAGCACACAGTATTCCCTGAAATTTTAGGGTGTTTATGTGGTTTTGTTTCACAAGGCTTTCCCAATCTCTAGAAGCCATTCTTTGTGAACTGAGGAGAGGGGACAGAGGAGATAGCCTAAGAGCTGGCAGCACTCTGGTGCCACAAAAGGTATGTAGCTGCTTCCCTTTTCTGACCAGAGCATCTCAAGAGGGGAAGAAGAAAGTTGTACTGAAGAGGCTCAAAGAGTAAAATTATGACAGGAGTGTACTCTATGTACTGTAGAGAGTGCAGAGCATCAGAACAGGAGGGAAATGCAACCCAAGAAGGTGGTTATCTGGACATTAAGAGTTGGGGGGGTGGTGTTAGGGTTTCTTTGGGTTTTTGTTTGGGTTTTGGGGTTGGTTTTTTTAAAGTCAGGTTGAACAGAAGAGTTGCATTAGGCAAGAGCTGATCTGTTGGTTGCCAGTTGTGAATTGTCTTGCCACCCACACTTCTTGCATTTGTCTTCTGAGATCAGTTGGTTTTAGTTACATATATTGACTATATATTTATTCTGGTGTGTGAGCAGGAAGGTACACTGGAGCTGACGCTCAACTTTAAAACCTACTTATGACTGTCTTAATAGTCCCTTAGAGAGAATAATTGATACTCTCTTGAAATGGTTGTTTCACAATGTCTTCTTGCAGGAAAACAACATTTTTTGGAAGTTGACTTACAATGCCACCTCCTCTTTCACCGACTGACTGCTGTTCAGAGGGGTTTAGTCTAATTCTCCTGAGCTCACAGTTCTGCTCTAGTCAAAGCATATATGCAACAGGTTACAAGAAAAATCTGAAGAAACTGCAGATATCTGATTTCCAGAACAGTGTATCTTCTCATTAACTAGTTCACATGTAACACTTGATAAGTATGTGGTCAGTAGACTTCTGAATGTCTCTGAATAAATCCAAAATGAATCCTGGTTTTAATGCTGGAGGGTGCAGCCTTTTTTCCAAGCCCAGTCTTGGAAACTGTGTGACTCTTTGAATGCTCTGAACTAAGAAACATGGTTTTGGTTTTTGGCATTTTTAAGCAAGAAAAGCTACTTCTTGAAAATGGGGAAAGGGAGGTTCTTGTCACTACAAGGTCAGTGGGTGCTTGCCCTTTAAAGGGTGACAAACATGAGTTGTGGCTGATTGGTGATGTCAGTGTAGCTTTGCAGCTCTTCCTTCTGTTTGGTGGGTTTGCTGAAGTACCTAATCTTTATCCAACACAGGAAAAGCAAAATAGCATTTTAGGTTCTTAAAAAGGACTTGTGTACTGACCCTTGACTGACAACCCACCTGGAGGCCCAAAGGGTACTATGGCAGAAAAGGGAATGCTATGCAGAAGTGTAATAAGAGAAAGATGCTACTGAGGCAAGCCAAACCACTGCTGGAAACCTGGATTTCTGTCCCTTTAATACTGTTAGTTCTACTTGTAATCCTTAGGTCTGAAACCATCCTTAGGACCTAAAAGATCTAGTTTCTGTACAAATAATGGGCCTTAATATGGCAAGTGACTGCTTCGTTTCTGAGACAAATTAGATGTCATTTGATATTAAAATATCATGGAGAGATTATAGATAGTACAAGGCAAGGTCAATCTAGTTCAGCATCCTAGCTCTGGTAGTTGAGCAGTATTGCATGTCAGGGAAAGAGAGGAGCACAGGGCAAGAGTAGTGGTATTTCTCCCAAACTCTTAACCTTCTGGCAGAGTCTCTACAGGTAGAGCCTACCTATAGAGTTATATAGATAGGGGGTTCTTTGGGCTAAGAAATCATCAGAACTGACCCTTTGTCATGTAACCTCATTTGTGACAAATTAGCACTTTAAAAATGTCTGAAAATTTCTGACTGGCTCTAATAATGATTAATGAGGATTTCATGAGCAGAGATGAAAATGGAGAAAGTAAGAGACTCACTCCACATGCTGCCTGCTATCATAAAAGGCAGCAGAGTATTTCAAGAATGATATTCTTTTTTAAAGTAATGGTGTGTTGAATGTGGAACTCTGAAAGCAATATTAATTCAGGGTAGATGGGTTAAGGACATACAGAAGAGACCAGGAGCATATTGTGATGGTCAGATGTAGGGTAAAGCATGAGAAGGACAGACAAGGCTGTAAGAGCCAAACTAGGAAAAGATAAATACCTGGGTCCTCCTGCATCACTGAAGGTGTACAGAAAGGTTTAAAAAACATTCAAAGCCCAGGTGAGATGGTACTTCTGAGATTATCCAGTCCCTTCCTGAAAGCCTGCTCTTCTTTTTGTCACTCCTTTGTCACTGCTTTTGGTAAAAAGGAGAAGAGGGGTTTGGAAGGACTAAGGGTAAATAATGGAAAGAACATTAGGGGTGAAGAAAGCAAGTAATTAAAGTCTAAAGAGCACAAGCAGAAGTGGGGGAAACCGGAGTAACTGATCTGTTGAAGGGCCAAGTCCCAGAGGGAAGATCCCAAATTACTTTTGAGAGGGCAGACTGGTTTGGAGAGGAAAACATTATCTTCAGCTAGAAGGTAACACCGTTAGGAAGAGAATGTTATATGATTATAAATAAAGGACATAGAAGGCATGTTACCTATGGGTAGATGTCACTTTCCATTTACATGGAAAGGAAGATTTTTTTTTTTTTTTTGAGACCAAATAAAAGGCAATTTTAGCGGAGGAGTACTTGTTATCAGCAATGATAGTTTGTTTCTCATATGACCATCTTTATTATACAAGTATCAGCTCTGAAAATTAAAGCTAAAGTGCTTTCCTCTAAGCACTTTATTCTCTCAGAAGTTCACATTACCAAATACTCATTTTTATGATACAGCTGGTAGGGATCTGCATGATCTAGGAAAAGCTGAGTTGGAGGATCTACCATCTGAATTGAGAGGGTACAGCAGTGAAGAGAGTGTATCCCCTTATTTTTCCCCTTCAAAGTATGAATAGGGAAGAGGCAAACTCCTGAAATACAGGACTTGAAGAGGACAGGGGAGCTATGTTAGAGAGTGTTTCCTAGAGGCAAATGTGTAAGAAATATGTATTTAACTTAAACATCAAAAAATTGAACTACTTTTTTTTTTTTTACACTGGGAGGCAGTCATTAAGGTTACATATCTATTTACATATCTATTTCAGTTATGTATTTTATGTACTTAGCTTTATAAGAAATGCTGTTCTTGCCACAATTGGATCAACTGACATTCACCTGAAAATCAGCTGGGATTTCTATAAGAATAGGTAACAATTGTAGTCTGAAAACACAGTCCTACTGCATTTGTTTGGTAGCGTAATTTTGTGATTAGATAGTGACTACCCTTACTACTATGGTATGAATTAATTTCCTTAAAGAAAAAAAAAAAAAAGTTCAGCCTTGTAAGTGGCTTAATAAAGAGATAGCGTTAGTAACTTAAAAAAAAAAAAAATCTCATGTTGGACGTGTCAAATTTCTGGGAGGAAAAGATACATTCTTTATATACTTGTGCCTTTATATACAGGCTTGAATGCTTTAGGGTAAGTAAGCTCTTGATGTGCCTCAAAGCTGTTAGCTGTTTTGTTTCTCCATGGTAACAGGAGTATAAAGCAGTATGAGCATGTTACTGAAGTAGGCAGACATGACATTGTTTAGGAATGGGATTACATGTGAGGACTGCAGCTCTAGGGTAATTCTGAACAAGGGCATTTTCTAACACAGAGGTGCTGTGAAGGTGTGCAGATACGCTAATTTAAGGCAAGGCCTTAGGGATGCAAAACTGGCCTAAAAGTTTGCAGTGGTGGGAGGGATTATCAGACATCAGGTCAATGAAGATCTTCCAGGAACATGGCTCAACATGTGAAGAGGCCTGTGCCAGGTCAGGGTCTAAATGTAGGGCTCTGTCTGAGGTTCAGATATACAACAAGTTATAAAGACTTAACGATGCATCTTCTGTTTCAATTTTTTTACATTCAAAAGAAAGAATACTGCAGGCAGATGACATCTGAATTAATGCAGAGTTATCTGTAAACTGGTCAGTAGTCTTGTAGTATTAACTAGGTGAACCCTGTTTACTTTTGTTCCCACCTTGGCAGAACAGTATATATCAAGAGTACATCAGAGTAGCTAAGATAGCTCTTCCATGAAGAAATGGACAAAGGTAATCATTTATATTGGTGCAGCTTGATCATGCACTGACCTCTCCCTAGCACTGATGAACTCTTATCCTTTTCTTCCCCTACTGAGATGACTCTGACCTACTAGGCTGAGATAAAATCTACTAACTTGCATTTATAGTAAGGCAAAGGTTCTGGCAACCTTTTTTTCATCTGTACATACTGCATGAGGGAGCTCTCTGTCTCTCTTCCAACAAACCACTGTGTAGTGATGGGTTGAGCTAACCTTGCCGATTGACTCATTTCCTTCAAATTTTCAGCCTGACAGAGTGGTGTGTGCGTGTGTGTGCTCCTGGGAGAGCCCTTTCCTTGTGCAGTTAAAACAGGGTAACTTCCTTGTCTCTCTTCCCTTCCTCTTGGTGCAGGTAAACATAATTGCTTCTGGTTGAGAAGGCCGTGTGACCTGTACCAACACAAAGCAACTTCACTCCAAACACACCTTCCCCACTTTTGCACTTTGTACTGGTTTTCTAGTTGTTTGACTTGCTCTTCTTTTTCTGCAAGTGAAAATTAGCTTTTTATCCAGGGTCTGTAAGGAAGCAGACTTGCAGATCAGTGCTGCCTTTCTGTTCATGTGCAACCCTCTCTGCTGTTTGTTTTCAAGTAACTTTGGACCAAATTTGTAAAATTCAACCACTGTACATATTGGTGGCTGAGGGGACCCCCAAATGAACACTGTGCAGAGGGAAAAAAGAGGAGAAATGGAGGGGTTTTGTTTAGCTGATCAGCTCTGTGCAGAGCTCCATACTAGTACTTACCGGTGGAGCTAATGCACTTGAAAAACCTTTGTTAGCCCTGTGGCTTTGTTAGCCCCAGCCTGGTCTAGTTAAAAAGATCAGGTCTGTGCATGCCTCAGTACTGCAGCCGGTGAAGAAACGGGTATATAGCTCTACTTTTGTCCTTATGTAACTGTGTTAACAAGGTACTATCAGGGTAACTATTTTGAGTAGCAGCGTTCGTTTTCAAACCCTTTATGCAATAAACTGCGTGGACTAGGCCCGAGATGGGTGCCCGGGAGCGAGGAGAGGGAGGGAGCTGCTCTGCCTTCCAGGCTGTGGCCTGAAAACAGGGCCGGGGGGTGTGGGGGTGTGTGTGTGTTGAGTTGGATTGGAACCTTATGCGGGTTTAATCCACGCCGTAAAGCCGGCCGGAGGCCCGCTCGGGCGACACGGGGTGTGATTTCCAGTCCCGAGTGGATTATTTTGCCGAAGGGGATGCATCGGAGAAGGGCCACACGGCGGTGGCCGCGGCCGCCTGCCCAACATGGCGCAGGTCCAGCCGCCGGGCGCGGAACGGGGAGAAGCCGCCCTGCCCTCTAGCTCCAAGGCCCGGCGAGGAGCCCCGCACCCGGTACCCCCCCTACACACACACACACACACACACGC